TCAACGCGGCTATTCTGTGATAATGCTAGTAAATCCCAATTGGTTTTTCAAACTATGGTGGTACAAGAGGACTTATATATTAAAGGAAGAACATAAAATCGGAAGTGTCGTGGAGCAGAGACTTAATGAAAGGATGATTGGATTAATAAAAAAGAGCCTATAGATAGAAAATTATTATAGAAAAGGAAATAATATTAGGAATAGAAGGAATATCTAGCTACTGACTAAATTTTGATGATTATGTGATCATAAGCCTAATCGATTTCATTTAATCTAATGCTTCTCTAATATATACTAAAGTAAAAAAAAAAATGCCTTAATAGAATTGTCCATAGAATTCATTCTTAAAACTTTTTAACAGATGACTATGATCAGTGAATATTCTGTACCTTCTGGAAATCAACAGTGTTGAGAATTCAAAAATCAACCATTTGACAAATCAATTCAGAAAGTCGATGAACAAGAAGTACCTATACGAATTAGAAATGCTGTAAAACGATGCACTCAAACAAGGATATAAACAAAATATAATTCCTCCATCCGACCATCTCTTTTAGTTCGGAATGCCGGAAAAACCGAATTACAGTAACATAGAGAAATAAATTTGTATTAATCTATAAGTATTAAATTGTCTTACTTGAACATCCCTCAGATTAATTAAAACTATCCTAAATTTTATACCACAGAAAATCATTTATTCAACTGTAGCTAAGCTTATTGCATTGCTTAATATGTTTTAAAGTGCTCTCACTTTTAAAATTTTTAGTGTGACATCCAAACTTATATTTAGTTGTTAAAAATTAAAAGGTTGCAAGTTCCTTTTCAATTAGCTTTCTTTGTTATTAACTAATTTTATTTGTATTATTAAAATATTGTTGAGATTTTCTAATCTGACAGTCCCTCCAACATGAATAGCAATAATCAATGCTTAATGGTCAAAGAATTAAAACCATTCAATTTTTAGATATAGTAAGTTCGATTTGATTCTTCTTCGCACTCAAAAGTCAAAATGACGTAGCAGCAGCAGTAGCAGTAAAAGCGATGAAATGAAAATGCGACAACTTAGCTAACATTTGGTGAATTGTCAGCATACTTTAATATTTTCATTGTTCATTTCTTTCCTATTATTTGAATAAAAAAGAAAATCATAAAGCCATTGCCGACGTTGCGGTGTTACGACTGCAACTTGCTATTAAAAAATTTCTTTTATTATTCCTAGAGTGGACTTCTTATTATTCACATATTTATCGAAAAAAAGTTGCCATTATCAACTAAACAATCGAAAATTTTATCAACTTATCACGACTATCTTAACAAAATGATATCACACAGAAGAGTGAAACCAGTACAGCATACCATACGCCTTTTGTAATAATACATTACACTGACAATAAGTATACGCCAGTTTCAAAGTGAAAGAAAATGTCATCGTAGTGTCACCACTATCAAAAGATGCTGTCAAAGGAATGTCCCCTGAAAGTACATTGCAAGAATCGATGATATGAAATAAATGCTCAATAAATAATTTGGGTAATTATTGAAATAGTATGTTGAATACTTATGATATATTTCGAGGTTCCAGCTTTACCGTATCTAATTCCCTTCTCAAATGATATAATTGAATAATTATCAGCAATTGCTTATCATTTCTTTCATTTCAATTGCATATTCATGAGCTTTATGATCACTAATCAATACTGATTACGATGGATCGTTATTATCATTTCGTTGAAATGTCATAGAATGATTAATCTGCAATGACAGATTATGTGGAAAGGATAAGCAATTACTTATAATCTATTGAGTATATTATCATTTGAAACCTATAAGACACACTATTCTACAGTCTTATCTTTGCATTGTTAGTTCTTCTATGAAACAACAATAAACATTTGTGGTTGTTTACTGCCAAATTAATAAAATGCACTATTGCAATTTTCCAGTGTATTTAAAATCCAAACAAAATGAAATATTTGTATGCCTTTTGAAGCTTAGATTTACTTATTGTAGGATTGATTAACCTACAACTAGATTTTATACTTATATCACCAATTTAAAACCTAGCGCTAATTAAATTTTGCACATTTTTCGCGAAACAAAATTAAATTTCACAAGAAAAAGAGACTTTCTACAAAATCAGAAGCACAGAGCAATTTTATATAAACACTTATATGTTCAAAATTGATTATATGTTTACAACTACATTTCGATGTAACTAAATTCATTTAATTGCAAATAAATTCAATTATAAGTGCAAGATTAGCTATAGGTTAGATTCATAAATCAATCAATCATATTATAAGTGAACCCAAGCTTAAAAAGTATGTAGATATTTCATTTTACTTGAATTAAGCAATAAAAAATACCGAAAACTTTATTAAGTGATTAAATAATTAACAAATATGTCAATTTATTGTTGCTGTGTATTGTTGAGATGGCAGTTTCAATGACAGTGTATTTTACTAATTTGCAGAAAGTAATTTGCTTCCTGAAAAGATAAGGAAGTAACTTATATTCAGTTTGTAGTAGTATAGGAAATAATATATTGAAATGTTTTAAACTGTTTCAAAATTAAAATAAGTAGCAATTCATTATATCATAATTTCTTAGGATTATCATAATTCAATTTGACATCTCATTAGCTATAATTGCATTCACTTCACATAATTGTCTAGTGCTTAAATTATTTCATAATTTAAAAATTAGCGTTAATTGAATTTTGCACATTTTAAGTGTAATTTTTTTGCCTTACATTGTATTATTACTCTATCGTAATTGAATCTTTCATTAAATTTCACAACGGACTATTTCGATTTCAGAGAATAGTTATAAGGCTACTTATAAAAGGCAGTTAATACTTATACCAATTCGGTCTGAGGAATTCTTTCTAAATGTCATTCTAGTTGATTTCATTTAAAAAAGAGGGAAAGACAGTTTCTCAGACAACAATTAAAATAGCAGTAATACCTTAAGGTTACATTCAGTCTGTTAACCAAAGTGAAATTCTGTTGTAAATTATCTCTTTTGATGGCAACGACATGTGTTGAAGTTTTATGTTTTCATCATCAATCAACAAATGATAAGCGTATACTAATGTAAAGATATCAGATAAAGCTTTTAAAATTTGTATTTAATTCATAATTATACTCCAAAACGACTAAAGATCATTTGGATTTTGTCTAGAAAAAAAAATAATTGCAGGTAAGTTATTAGTGTACGGTTGTATGTATTAAACGTATATTATGTATTTATCATTGTGTATGTGTGAATAATCGAATTCAGGTGAAAATTTTCAAAATTTTAATTTCCATACAATACTAGATAATTGGAATGATGACATTTCTCTCATTAAAACTGCATTTAGCAAAAAAAAAAAAAAAAAAATTAAATTGGACTTAAATCTGATTTAAAAGAAAACAAAAATTATTATTGAATTTCTTTTAAACTTTTCTTTTAAGATTATCATAAAAGACTGATAGCACAGTTGTTTCTGATATGATAAAAGATTAAAAATTCAGATTTAATCGTTTTAAGTTTGCTTTCCAATGCGTTTCATTTAATGAAAAAAATTACGAAATTTTAAGTTTCTCGTATATATATCATTTCTTTATAGCATGTTAAAATTCATTGAAATATGAACTCCAACAAGCGATGAATGAATCATTTTTAACTTTTTTTTTTTTGACTTTACTTATTCCTTATCATTCTTCTAATATGTGATAATCAATAATGTAAATAACTTAATATTTGCGAATGTACAAAGAAAATAAGTGAAATTATTTCAAAAAAATCATTTATTTTAATATTCCAAACAAGTCTAACTTCGATTAAATTTGTTTACTGCATACTATTGTTAGTTATTTATTTACACCATTTTTGCTAATAGCGGAAAAGTGATATATATGTTATTAGCTTCCGATATAAAAGTACAGTACTTTAACTGATATTTACTAATGAAATCTTAGAAATAATCTTGACAACAACAACCTTTTAATGTTTGCTCTTTGCTTTTTAAGAAAAAAGTTGAAATAAACAAATCTTCCTAGGCTCCATAAAATATTCAATACGAGGCGCATTTAGCATATTTGCAATTCGATGGATCTCAATGGCTTGCATCTTCTGAAAGGTATCCTATAAATATCATTTAGGCAACTTTTTTAAATTTTAGATCCAATTTTCGTCTTCTCCGATGTGAAAATAATGATTTGGAAATAATGTTTAAATCAAACAATTTTCTTCACAATTTTTTTTTTTTTTTTATCATGAATTGTTTTTCTTTTATTACTATGTAAAAAGTGCTTTGGCTTAAAAGCATTTAAAAAATTTATTATTATTATCATTACTGATTACATTATACTTTTTCTTAATTGCAATATTAATTGTTATTAATGCAAAAACTAATTAACAAATTAGTGGCAATGTAAGTATACATATGTATTTAACTGGATTTCTAAACAGACTAGAATATAATAACGAATGAAATTAGAATGAATTGAATTGAATTGAATTAGATCAAATCAATTTCTAATGCTATGAAATGAGTTAAATTGATTTCATTTGAATGAAATCGATACTTTATCAAACAGAAAGGAAGAATAATATTATGTTGCTGTATAAATATTGCTATAGCAACCTGAAATGTCTATCTTTCTTTACTTATCTCCATTAAATATATACTTATGACAAGGGTTCAGGTGACATATGCAGTAGAGAGAATTGAAAAAGATTTGTTTAATTAAAAAATAAATAAAATAATGAAAAACACCAAGAAGCTGCGTCAGTAGCTTACATAATTTATAATTTAGCGTTTTGATCTTTTTTTTTTTTTTTTGCACTTTTTTCCAATTTCTTTAATTCTATCCTTTTACATTCAATTCAATCAAATGTGAAATAAATTTAAAAATATAAAATGAACTAATTCATTTTATATTTTCAGTTTCATTTCATTTATTAACTGAGTCAACCAAATATACATTTTGAATAGATTCATTCGTGCTATTATGGCGAAAAAATTGCAGATGAATGATGGAATTAGTAATGCTGTATGTCAGGTATCTTCTAGCTTTCATTTTTTTGTTTAGGCATTTTTTCTTTTTATCTTCTTGGCCAACCAATTTTTTTATAATATGAAAATTTAGTTGCTTCAAAAATTAATTAAGTGATATGTCATAATTATGCTGATTGATTCATTCCTTACAGAACAAAAATATTTTCCTAGAAGAAATAATTTGAAATGTTTCTTGTTAATGATACTATGCTGATAAAAAAATATTTGCATGGTGGATATGTTTGCTTCAAATGAATCTATAAATAGTTATTAGTATATATAAATTAATTAGTTATAATTGTATTTCGTACTGTTTTGCAATTAGAATTGAAAAGTTCAATTTTGAAAAGACTTTCTTTCAATCATACATTAAAATTTACTCAAAATGAGTCACTGTATTAGTTTAAATAATATTAACTAGCAATCATAATTGATCTTTTCTTCCAACAACTTTTTGTATTCTATAAAATACTTTCAAAAATAAACTATAAAAAAGTTGCCAAGTAATAATATGCTATATAATATCAAACTTACTGCTACCAAAACTGATATATTCCATGTAATACACTGATATTAGTGTTCTTTTATTCATTTGTTATTATTTACAGAAGAGATTATTGTCTCATTTGGAGAACGATGAATGTGAACAATTTTTTAAGTGTTGGAATGAGTTATTTGTTGAAGAATGTAGTAAATCTGCGGAAGTAATTTCATTGGAATTTAATATCCATTTGTATTTCGTGACATTTCCGCTTCGTAAATCACCATCAGTTAGTGTATTCTTATCACATTTACCCAATTTTTTTTTTTTTTTCTAATTTCATTTTTCATTCTCATTTTTCTGTTCCTGCTGTAAAGAAAAAAAAAAGAAAAGAAAAATTTTTCATCACTATTTCTAAGAAAGCTGAAACGGATATTTATCAGTAAGGAACAACATTGTACGAAATGATAAAGAAATTTTTTTTATTATCTTTTAATGATGCAAAAAAAACCAGTAAAAACAGAAAGAAAAAAGGATAGACTAAGAACCATAAATTATAAATTAATAATGTAGTAAAATAAAAGAAAAATAAAAATAAAAAAGAAATGTAAAAGTTTCACTAAATTTTTTAGGATAAAGAAGAATATAGGAAAAGAATTGAAGGATTGAAGAAATTGTTGGAGGATGAAAATGGTATCAGATACAGTGCTGATGTTCAGCTTGTTCAGTACTTTGCATTACCTTATGTTGTTGAGCCTGAAAAACATCCTGTTTTTAAAGAATTAGCTCAAGTAGGATGTAAAATTTCATTTTACATAAGACAGATTAATTTCTAAATAATTCAATAACAAAATTTAATTAATTTAATTATTATTCAACGATGTAATTACTCCAATTTTTTTTTTTTATTAATTTTACTGTTAAATAACTTACTCCAATTTTATTAATTTTATTGTTAAATAACTTATATTTAGCGTTAAGTTATTTTGAAATGACGAAGAGAAATTTTTTTTCACATTTCCTTTTAATTATACATTTACTCATTTTATTTATGTCTCAACCTTTTTGTTGTTGTTTTTTTTTTCCGTTAATTTCAATTACAGAAGAAATGGGCCAAAAGTCTTTTTGAAAATTTAAGTGTATTTTTGGCAAATTATGCGACAAATATCGATGATACTCAAAATGTTTTATTACAAAAATGGATGGTTTGTTTATTGAAATATTTTTATTTTGCATTCACTTTTTAATCATTTTATTCTAAAAATATTGAAATAATCTAAAATATATTATTATTTATCAATTCTTCTTTTTTTTTTTAAACATTTCTGCCTCGAAGTATAAAAATTTAATTTCATTATTTTTATTTTATAATTATCTAATATTTTACGATTAATATGTTTGCAAATGAATTTAATTTAAATTTTGAAGAAAATATTTATTTGTTTTTGTTTTTTCTTTTTTTTAGACAGCTTATCGATTACAATATAATGAATTGTTGGAAAAAAAATGTCTCAAATTACAATATAATTACAATCGGATTGTTGATATTGTCAACGAAATGTTTAATTACGTGGAACAATCAAATAAAGAAGTGGGAGTGCGCTATTTTTTTAATTGCTATCATAAATATTTTGAATTGTTAAAGAATTAATACTGTGCTTACATTTCATTTATAATATAATTAGTTAAATTAAATTTCATTACAGGTAATTCATCTATCACCTGAATATATTATGGAAATGAAGGCGCGTTTTGAAGATGTAACAGCAAGCGCAGAACAACATATGCAAACAAATATTGCTAGTATAAGTGAAACATCAGTAAGAAAAGCATATTGAATTGTACTTATTAAATTAATTTGAATTTGTTGAAAATTTTTACAACCTTAAATTAAAAATTTTTTCAATAATTTTAGGACAAAAAGTGTGATAGGCCTGGAAAATTAAGTACACGTATGAAAAAGAAGAATAGAACAGTGAAAAATGATGAAACAGTTGACAAATTGACGCCAATGGTTCCATCAAAAACACTTATCAAATTGTTCGTTTCTTTTTTTAAAAAAAAAAAAAAAAAAAAAAAGATTGAGATTTGTATTATCAAAAAATGCAACTTTGTCGTAATAGAAAACTAAGATAGAGGACAATTTCACTTTGAGAAGAGAATTTTCTGATTAAATGAAATAAACAAAGTTCATTTTCAGTCAATAAAATTATAGCATAGCTTATAAAATATCCTTACTTAATGTTTAAATATTGGTGTTTTTTATATTTTATTTTATTGTTTATTATAAATAAGAAATAAACTATCAACAGCTTAAAAAGTACAAAATAACATTTGATATTTCATTCAAGGAGAATTTATCAAGAACGTTTAATTATTTATTTCTATTGCAAAAATGAAAAAAACAAAACGAATTCTTTTCTATTTAAAAGCACATTGATATTATAAATTTTATGCATTAATAATTCTTTGCCAATAAATTGAATTTTTTTCACAGACAAATAAGCTAAGTTGAATGGAAATGAAATGAAAAGCTAAAAATATAGTAATGAATGTAGGAAAGAGATGAAAGAGGAAGAGGAAGTGATAATGGACGATGTGATTGGAAGGCTTAATTATACCAAAATTGGAAATTGTCTGATTAAGAGTGCTTCAGCAAGGCTTAGTTCTCTTTTATTGCAAGCCTTACGTCAGGTTAATATATTTATTTTACCTTTTGATTAAGTTTAATTCAAAATAACATTTTTCACTTTATAATTGCAATTTCATTCGTATTTGTTGTAATTTTTTTCGCGCATGAACATTTATAATTATAATTTTGATATATAAGTAAAGATTATGATTACGATTTGTTATGGATAGTTGAGATTTATAAAACATATAAGAATTGTGGTTTTCATAAATAATTAAAATACATTTTTTCCTCCTTTTTAAATATCGGTCAAGGCAGCTAGCTTATTGTCATCGTAATTTATTTCATCGTTTACAAGAGATTACTCACTTTTTTTTCAGCGTATAACAAGAATACCAATTGAGAGTGCTGGACAGGTGTTGGAGGTTTATGCAAATAACGATTTATTGTTATTGAAACATTTGAAAAATGTAAAAAATTTAAATTTTTTAAGAAATTCTCAATATATATTAAATTTTAATTGCTTACTTAATAAATATTAAATAGCGATTATTTTATAGTTACTTAATAAAAAATATTAAATAGCAACTTTTTTCGTTTTCTTTTTTTTAACAACAAAGAAATTAAGATTAGCCTTATATAAAATTTTTATAAAACTAATATTCCGTGAATTCGATTGATTTCTATCAATCCATCTCGATGATCATTTGCAGAGTGTAGTAAGTGTAATTACATCACAAGGTGATAATGGAAATGACACGAAAGAAGAATTGTGCCGCTTACTAAACTCTATCGCATCATTTAATCTTGGCCGAAACTATCTCTTGGCCAATAATCAGGGCAAGGAATTAATTGCAACATTAACGATGGCTTTAAAAACCAAAAAATTACACCATTATGCGGGTGAACATGTCCTGGCAACACTTCAAAAGCTTAGTATAAGGTTTTTAATTAAATGTGTAAGAAAGAAAAAAAGAGCTGTTTAGTATATGCTGTTTAATAAAATACTTTTTAATAAAAAATTTAATAGAAATTATAATTTAAAATAAATAATTTCTAGAATTTTAATTTAATTGCTGTAAATCTTTTAAAAAAATCTTCAAAAAAATTGCATTTTTTTTATCTATTAAAAAATTCTATAACAATCTTACATTTTTCTTTCCTACTTTAGATCATCGGTGCAAAAAGAATTGATAAAACTAGGTATGGTGGAATGGTTATCAATATACCTTGGTGGTAAATTAAGTCCAACAGCGCTTGATTATGGTTGTGCATTATTGTTAAATTTATGCTTAGATCCATCTGGCAGATCAGCAGCTTCACGTGTGGCTACAATTTTTACTACAACAATAGCAAATTTAATATCTGATCATAAATTACAGGTAATACTGTCATTGAAAATCTTACTAATTCTATTACACTTGTGAAATTTCGAATTGTTATGGTCAGTATTCAAACAAAAAATATTTATGTGCCACTTGCTTAATTCTTTTTACATTAAAACTAAAAATTAAAATAAGAAATTAAAAATAAAATTTCCAAAACTTTTAAAATTAATATACAACAATAAAACTTCCCTTTCGGAACAAAAAAGTGGAATAGGCAATAGTTGATAGTAAGTATTGAAAATATTTTTACGAATTGATTAAAATAAAAAAAAAAGAGAGAGAAAAGAGGATATAATTAAATTTAAATAATTAGATGATAATTTGGATTTCATATCTGGGTGTAAACGTTTTTCTAATTAATTTTAGTTTTAAATAAATAGATTAATGCTTAGAATATAACGAGAAACTATATTGATGCAGATGATTAAATTTTTTAATAAAAAAGTTAAGATGAAATTATTGTTATCTTAAAATTGAATGAAATCATGTGAATATTCAACTAATAAAATATAAAACATAAAAAACTAAATTTTTTTCTTCCATTTTATCTCTTAAGTTTGTATAAAATGAATGAAAAGAAAGTTTGAAGAGTAAAACTAACTTTTAACTATTTTATCATTAATAGATTTTAGGTATGCACATACATTAACGGTATACTCTTCACAATACTCGGTATTGCACAAATAAAAGCACGAGTAAAAGAGATCAATTTAATTAATGCTGTCAAAGAGAAAATAAACAATCATCATTGCAAGGATGACGAGAAACAGCTACCGATTATTTACAAAATTCTTAACGGTGGTAAGCATGAAGAATTATTTGTTAAATGAAAGAGAAAGAAAGATGAAATATAAACAAATTATGAATTGATTTCATTAAAACAAAATATTTTATTAATCTCACATTTCTTTTTTAAAAATTCTGAATATTGTCATATTACATATACACATATAAAAATAAACCGGAATAGTTATGATAAGTATGTTCTTGTTTTTGAATGAAATATCACCGGATGTATGGCTGTTATTTTTCTGAATTGATGCAAGAGCATAGGTAAGAAAATTTTCCGGATGATAAGTTCTCTCCCAAACTTCTATCCTATTTGACATTCATTCAATTCTATTTCTGTCAATTAATTCAACCAATGTTTATATCACAAATATCATAGATTCTGTATAAACTTCAAAACATAATATTTTAAAATTATGATAAGCTTTTTAGTCTACTAATAGTTTTCTTATCTGATTAGAAAGTGGATAATTAAATGAATCTTTCGGAACAGATCAATGCCTCCATAAGGACAACCTTCTATAACTTATATGTAATGCCTGAACATTTTGTTTACTTTGCGAATTCGGATAGGATTATCTGATTTGTTCTACTGAATGAAATGCTAAAATAGAATTTATACTTATCATTTGTCACTAATCTATGGACAATAATCTATGAGCGTAGCAGTGAACGACATTAATGCCGGAACTGTTCATTTATACCGGAAGAAAATAGAATTTCACTTTCTATTTCTAATCAAAAGATTATTTAAATTGAAGCTTGAATTGTGCCACTCTTTTCGGCAAATGTTAATTTTAATGAAGAACGGGTAGACTTCTTCCCACCGTAATGTCAATAACATTCATTATCATTTGTTTGATTATCAGCTCATCATTTGATGAAGTTTCATCTTATATTTTTAACAGACTCCGTTAAAGCTTTCGAAGCTTTATACGTCTTAAATAGGGAAGAATATGATAACACATTCAAATAGATATTAAAATGGGTGAGGTAAGTTAATTTCCTGTCCCCTTCTCTCTATCTGTCAACTATGGTACCAGTCGTTGTCACTGTTCAATTTCTCATCAGACGATAACAATGCATAATGAAATCAGTGGGACGATGACAGCCAGTCCGTACAAATAGATGTCACCAAAATGTTCCGTCTTTACTAAAATGTCAAGGATGAATGAATGTGTTCCATGTCTTCGAGACCACAAAGCGTGACCGTTCATCTACGGAACTGATTGCTGGTATCACTTTGTACAGGGACTGTGTGACACGCACATATGTACACCACTTGTTGATACTTTCAATTCTCGTAAAATTAACTGAACAAACTTTTTATTTGTTCGAATTTTCTAATAGGAAGTGTAAATTCATGAATCCATTAGAAGATTATAGCTACCAGATGGTACCAATGATTCTACTAATAGTTACGGGAAGAGTTAAAGACGTTTTAAGAGATGGTTATGAGACGAAGAAGGGTAGCACAGATTTCCACCGCCTTCGAAATTAGTCACATTTCTATCTATCTGTTGTCTTTCCAATCAGAAAAATGCTCAAATTTATTTGTCCAAGGAGAGTTTCTTCAATAGAACTGAGATATCCGAAGGGCACGAATGGAGGATAACCTTTACCCTCGTAATAGTCCCCAAACTGTCACCATGGTCATCATTATCAGGAATATATTGGTGTATTTTGGTTGAGGAGGAAGTCCCTCTATCCTTTCAAGCTACCTCTTCTGCCATGTATTTTAGTATTGCCATAGCCAAGCACTATGTGCCTCACTACTTCTAGAGAGATGGAACATTAAAAGATAGACTGGGTAGGGCAAATAAGTGGGTGGGTGGGTGGGTAAGTAGGCAAACTGGCGGGTAGATAAGTAGATGGGTAAGACTTAGACTAACAATGCACACATAACAGCATAGGGAAAGAGAGAGAGAGAGAGAGAAAGAGGAACTTCTTTTCTTCTTTCAAGGAAAAAATGCAAACATAATGATTTTCAATCAAGGAAAGAGAGAGAGAAAAGGAGAGAGAGGAAGGGAGAGAGAAACAGAGAGTACTGGCCATACAAAGATGGATGGCACTATGAGTGGTGCCGTTCGATCGTCGCTGCTTGCTTCGAACGGTGTTCCGCAGTAGCACGGAGACGAGGAACGATGTGCTTCGACTCTCTGTTGCACGCGACAGCCACTGCCACTGTCTCTCCCTCTCTGCACCTCTCGCCCTCTCTGCACCTCTCTCTTCTCACTTTTATTCTTTTCGCTGACAGCGCCGTTCCATTCTTTACTCTCTGTTCCAACACACACACACATACATTGCATGTGCAAATATTTATTTCATTATAGATGAGAACACCAGGATAGTTAGTTGTTACCCACCGGAATCTTTCTCTTTCCCGAGGGGAATTGCTGTCCCTTTTTTTTTGCTATTTTTACCCAAATCTCTTTGAGCACATCAGATCAGATCATATCAGACTCGATAATAATTAACGATAAGCAGTAGAGTTTATTCATTCCAACATGTAAGTGAAGACACTTCCTTCTTCCTTCCTTCCTCCCTCTCTCTCTCTCTCTCTCTCTCCGTGTTTGTAGGAAGGAAGGAAGTGTTCCTTTTATGGAAGAGGTTGTCTGGGAGATATCATTGACGATGGCATTGTGTCCAACAACAGGGCGAAACATCTGATAATGAAGCAGAAGGGGCGAAAGGTTGTCATCAGGAATGTCTGAGAGATGTCATTTGACCTGGAAAGAAGTATGAGTAGTAGCTCTCCCTCCTCCATCTTCCCTTACCTATTTGATCCCCTGTTATTCCCGCATATAAAGAGAGGGACGGGGTGTCAATCAGGTGAGTAATCCCTAATCTGTCTCCTTACTTCATTATAAAATGTCACTGTCCCTACTCCTCCCTTCATTCCGTTTTTCTATTAAAGAAATTTTAATCCCTGTTCATTCATTCAACTGCTAATTGTTCTTTTCATTTATCATCTCTCTAGTTATTCCTCGATGTCAGTTCTATCTAAGTTACTAACTTTCCATAAGTAATATTGATGGAGAAGGATGACTCATAGACGTTCGTTCTGTTACATTTGCATGATTCGTTGTTTATCATGTTCCATTGGATAGATCAGTTTATTTTGTTCCATTGAAATTGCTCTGATTTTAGCTATGGATGAGTCAGCATCATCACTTCACTATTACGTCAACAATCATTTCAATATCTCTTCCACTTTCTTTGATTCACTTCGAAGTGAGCTAAACTCCAGAAGTGCACAGTAATTATTGGCTTAGTATCTGATACGTAAGGAAGCAGTGATTAAAGTGTTGCATATTCTGAGGGAACAATTCCATCAGATTTTTTGTTTTTTCTTTTTTTAGAAGTTATTCCCTGGCAGTCTCTCAGTTTTTCGGTTCAATATGAAATTGTCATAGATTGAAATCTTAAGAAAGTTAGAGATGGATGCTTATAAAATTTGCTAAGATAGGTTTGAAGGGACATACCAACTCGCTCTAAAATTTAGTGCCACATGCATTTAAAGGACGGTCTAACGACACTTAACATGCTTTCGCAGATGTGTCAGTTTGCAAACCATTTGGTAATGCTCTTGGACTTCCGTCTACACCTACTCAGGTAGATCATTACATAATGATTTGGGGTTTTGATGAAAGGTACATTGAAAATTTCACATGTTATTTGAGATAAATAATTGTACCATAAATGATTATTGTTAAGATAAGTGATTGCTCGAATTGTTGCATTTCGCATACCTGTTGACATCTGTTTAATAATAAATATCCTTCATTCTCAAAGATATTTGCCATCGTCTGCTTATATTTATTAAGAAAATCACTAAGAAATTTAGAGAGTGAATGCATTAACTACCATCTTAATAGATGTAATGGATTATATTAAGTAGTAGGGAAAATCAATTCATCGATGAATTTGAGAAATATCTGAAATATTTTACGTTTCATAGATTAAGGCATTTCAGGAAAGATAAAGTAGTCATTACAAGTATGAAGTATATATGCCATTTGATTGTTCCAATCAGTTTTTTTTTCATCGTAGTAGTAGTTGAGTTGATTGTTAGGAGGAAGCATTCAGCAGTAGCTTTTTCTTTTAAAAGTTTTTTGAAAAGTAAGAAAAGATGAATTGCTGGGACAAGTTGGCTCTCTATCAATGCCTACCAAGCAATCAGTCTTGTTCATCTCCTCTTGGCAACACAAAATCCTTCCTTTCCACTACTAGCTATCATCATCTCTCTTCACCTTCTATGTAGTTGTAAAAGTATCGAACAGACCACATGCGAATTCACAATGTATGCACATGGACATAGGTATGTCTGTGTCTGTCTCTGTACGTGTGCATGCTATATATGTATGTGTGTATGTGTGTGTGTGTGTGTGAGTGAGTGATGAACGGACATCCGTGCTAATGCAGTATTGCTTGTGAGGAAAAGAGTGATGAGTAGTTCTTAATTAAATCATTTACTGAAATGTGAGATTAGATTCGATTCACTTTCGTGTTATTAGCATACGTGTGTGCCGAGTCTTTCACTTTAACGTAAGTCAGTAGCTGTTATGAAGTTATGAAAATTGTCCTTTTTAATCTTCGCTTACCTTTTACTAATGCTTATTTCTTACGTTCCCGATATGTGCTGCGTGTGTGTTGATGAGAGCGCAAAAGTAGCTGTTTAGATCATTCTGATCTTCCGCGTATCTGATCACGCGTACGTGTACGTGTATGTATACGCGTCCGGCTGTATGTACATTGTTTATAATCACTGAGGATATTTTATCGGAAGGGTAAAGGATGAAAGTATATAAAGAAGAGAAACTTTTTAGACATTGATAACCTTAGAACGAGTAGAGAGAGAGGGAGGAGTGGGTTGATAATGAGTTGTGGTCATTTCTATAAAGTGATACTGACTCTGAGTTCTGTTGTTCTTCGGTAGTAATGTGGTCTGAATGTGTGTATGTTCGTTTTTTGTGTTGTAATTGCCAACACAGTTATAGGTTATTTAGTTGTTCATTTGGGGGAGAGAAATATCACCCAACGCTTATCGTTACCCATGATTCGTGGCAGGTTATGTGGGATTACCCAGGGATTTACAGGGTGGGTTGTATATGGTGAGCATTATCGCTTCCTCATCTGCTCTCGAGCAACCTGATGCAACACGTCACCGGAAACTCGTCATTTCTCGGACCGGACATTTATATAATGGAAGGGAATGAGGTAAAGGGATCTTTACGGGACGTCAAGCCTGGTGTGATGAGCTACGAAAAGAGGAGGAGAAGGAACTATTCCTCTTCCATTATTTCTCCGGTGTCAGGTTCTTCAAGGGGTCGAGCAGTCGGTGTGTATCGGTGGGTGCCATCCTGTGTGTGTCTGTGTGTGTGTGTATGTATGTATGTATGTATGTATACATGTATTTTAGTAGTAGTTTTGTTGGGCTTCGTTGTATGTATAGATGGGAGGAGATGAAAATGTCTGGGTCGGGTACGTCGTACCAGGTGGCGACGATCTTGCTGATGTCGGTCGGCGACGGCTTCAAGGAGGGGACGACGTCGTCGATGGGTCATTTGCTGATGCTGTTGCCGGTGCCGGGTGATGCCCCATCCGTCCTCGTTCCGTTCCTGGCGTGCCAGCCCCAAAAAATTTTAGGCATAAATGCAAAACTCAGCGTGCTGCTCGCATTTCCCACAAATGCCCTCCTGTTCTTTTCTTGGGCTACATTTACTGTGTGTATGTGTATGTATGTGTGTATGTGTGTGTGTGTGAGACACCATGCCCTACGAATCACTGACGGCAGCATCTCATCAGCCAACCGATAGTGCTTCGAGATCCTCCTCTCCTCCCCTCTCTCTTTCCCGCTGTCTCATTGTTTCCGCTTCGGTATGTTGAAAGTCTCACGTCGAATGCCACCGTTGTACTAGTGGGTAGTAATAGTGGCAGTAGTAGTAGTAGCAGTTCATCACGTCAGTTACTCTGCAAGTTCAATAGGAGATAGCAAAAGAGAGGATGGCGATATAAGGAGATTCTCGGACAATTCAATCATTTAGTAGCATATGATCCTTTCAAAGTATTGGGATCATGGAGGGATCAAATGCTTTGTGGTTTTTCCTGCATGCAACATTCACTGCTAGTTTTTACTTTTTTTCTAAGTTCATGGGTGATGACATGATATCCACCTGATATGAATTGTGTGACTAGACAATAAGGGTGTTGTGAAGTAATTCCTGCTCTCAAATTTCTTCAAGTTTTCTTGACAAATTTGTACATGTTTCTTGTACATTTAGATTTATGTCATTTTTGGCATACGTCATCTGTATGCATCGTTACATATGTCTCCGCCTTCCCACGTCCCACGCCTTTAGTAATTCCTACTACTTTTAGCTCATTCACAATTCCTCAGTGTTACCGTTCTTCATTTCAACACTTTCCAGTTCGATATCCCATCTCAGCTTTTTATTACTTCACGTACTATTTAGTCCCCAATTCAAAGAAAGCTTGCGA